TCAGTTGAAAAATGTAGGAAATCTGATCCGATATATAAATGAACACACACAACCTAGGTTTTATAATAAGTATAACTCGATATGAGTTGTTCCCCTTTCATTCTTGCGTCAGCGATGACTCTTAATCGTGTTTTCAAATTGATTTCGTGCAAAAACAATTGTGTTTTTCCTATCTTTGGTGCTGTCAGAACCACCGCAAGGTAATTTTACGTAGTCCTGTGAAGTTTTGTTGAAATCGGTTGAAAAATGTAGGAAATCCGATCCAAATATAAAAACGACACACACACACACACACACACACACACACACACACACACAGACACACACACAGACACACACACACACACATAACATGGGTTTTATAAGAAGTATGATATTAGCTTGGTAGTTTGTGTAAGCAGGTTCTGGTCCTGCGCTGCAAGAATAAACGCTTCAGTCTCACATTTGTCGTGAACTGCTTGGCCACTGATGGGGTTACGAATTGATCTATATAAGCATTTTGCCTCGTACAAGGAACTGACTATGTAGAGACGTTTGGCTGCAGCTTTCTTCTAAGTGTTTTAGGCACCAGCTTTCGTTTAATTACTTTTGGCACCAGTTTTCTTTTAATTTATTTTTTAGCTCCAACCTTTTCGCTTATTGTTGCGTTTTTCTCACTGGTTTTGTGGCAGTTGTACGTATTTCGACACTATCTTCAAGATTTAACACGAATTCTCTTGCACATTTATCGCCCTTTTTTGATATAAAGTAGAGTTTTTTTGGGTTTTTTTTGGGTTTTTTTTATTGCTAATAGCTGTCTTTTGTTTAATTGAGTGGAAACAACATAAAATCACGTAATTCACATGCCCTGCGCCATTGACTATGACCCGGACACTGATTCTAAATTAATTGCAAGTCAAAAAGAATTTTGATAATAATAGTAACGAGTCCGGTGTACCCATTATCTGACTGGGTATTATGATGGCCATATTAGGTTTCACGTATTTGCACACAAGCGTCACATTGCTGGCGTTCTGCCTTCTCTTTCAATAATAATAATAATAATAATAATAATAATAACTAGTAATAAAAGGGAAAATCCACGGGGTTTTTTGTTTGAATTTTCTGATGTATCCTATTATTTAATGAGTAAATAAGCCATTTCCAGGGTTACATAAATACCCACGGAATTTCATCTATTGTCTCGAATACTATTTGGGTTTAACAAGTGAATAACAAGCATTAGTATAAATGAAGGTCATTATTTAATGAAGTAAGAGTGTACAAATGGAAAGACGTAAAATTAACAAGATTTTCTATTTCACTGAAGCAGACGCTAAAACATATGAAAGCGTTATCGCCTCCTCTGTCCTCCCTTTCTTTCTTTTTTCGTTAATATAAATTTCTCTTTTTCTTTTAATTCAACTTCCTTCCTATTTACCTGGATGGGAGAAGTGGGGTGTAATCGATAGCGAATGAGAAATCACTAGAGAACGTTTTCGCTTCCCCATCCTTTCTGACTTTCTTTCCTTCTTAATCCTTTCTTTCTTTTTTATTCCAGACTCTTCTTCCAGAAAGAAGAAAAAGAAAGAAAGGATTCTTTCTTTCTTTCTTTCTTTTTCCTTCTTTCTTTCTTAATGCTTTCTATTTTCTTTCTTAATTCTTTCTTTCTTAATCCTTCTTTCTTTCTTTTTTTTTTTTCTTTCTTTCTTTCTTTCTTTCTTTCTTTCTTTCTTTCTTTTTTGTTAATCCTTTCTTTCTTTCTTTCTTTCTTAATCCTTTCTTTCTTAATACTTTCTATTTTCTTTCTTAAACATTTCTTTCTTACCTTCCTTCTTAATCCTTTCTTTTTCATTCTTAATCTTTTCTTTTTCTTTCTTAATCCTTTCTTTCCTTCTTAACCCATTCTTTCTTTCTTTCTTTCTTTCTTTCTTTCTTTCTTTCTTAATCCTTTCTTTCCTTCTTAACCCATTCTTTCTTTCTTTCTTTCTTTCTTTCTTTCTTTCTTAATCCTTTCTTTCCTTCTTAACCCATTCTTTCTTTCTTTCTTTCTTTCTTTCTTTCTTTCTTTCTTAATCCTTTCTTTCCTTCTTAACCCATTCTTTCTTTTTTTTTCTTTTTTAATCCTTTCTTTCCTTCTTAACCCATTCTTTCTTTTTTCTTTCTTTCTTTCTTAATCCATTTTTCCTTCTTAACCCTTTCTTTCTTTCTTTCTTTCTTTCTTTCTTTCTTTGGCTTACGACCACATCACGGCGAAATACCGATTCCCGTACAATCATCAAATTTAAAAAAGAGTTGATCCTGGTCAGCAACTCGATGGGTGGCCTCTTAGGAATACCATGTGCTGTAAGCATGGATGTGCTGGTGGTGTAACGGATAATGGCTCGCAATTGTTAATCAGGGATCCGAGTTCCAATTCTCATTGTGTTCTTTATATTCACTCACGCGCAAATAACCTTTGGAAAGGCACGAATTCACTAAACCCCCACCCCACCCAACCAACAACAACTATAAGTTAATTAAAAGACTTCTATCACTAACCCATTATTGTCTTTCTCACCTTCAAAAATAATTCTTAAAAAAAAAACAAAAAAAAAACAAAACAAAAAACAATCCTGGTTTTTAAATAACTAGAAAAAGGTTGATAAGCTGTAAAAAAAATGAATCAACCACCTTTCTTTTTTTCTTCATCATTTCTTTCTTTTCTCACTCAAGCCAAACAGTGTCTCCGATATGTCTTTTCCGTCCTTTCCTTGTGAGTAAAACTAACTAATTAAAGAACTAAGGAGGAAACAGAATTATGATAATTCTCGCAATAATTATAATTGAATGCCGAAACCTTTATTACTCTTGTAGCATTTACTCACACTCTCACGAGGGTAGGAAGTGACACAAGGTCGTCTTTTTAATGCAGGTTGCGCATAAGTGTACATATGGGCCAAGGAGAAAGATTACCCAGTCCTCTAATCAATGTCACGCTGGCGTCGATTTCCCACCGACCCTCCCTAAATTTAGTACGAAGAGGGAGGTGCTGCTGTTGGATTGGGATCCACAGGACCATACCGCTAACATGCGATTATTATTATCATTATTAATTAATGGGGGAGCGTCGAAAGATTCTGTGTCGAACCAAGAAGGAGTTCCTAAAATATTTATTCTAGCACACTATTTATATTATTCGGACTATTGTCCTCATCTTTGTTGCCATATTTATTACGTTTCGGTCGTTGTACGCTCCAGCCTTCAGGTAGTTTGAATGTCGAACTGAACCCTTTATTTCGCTCGCTGGGGTAGACTGTTCTAGTTCCACGTGCCATGTCTAATGGATGTCAGTTATCAGTTATCTCCTGCTAATTCCCCTCTCCAAAGTCTCCACCGCCTTCACCGCACAGTGGATAAAGGCGTTAGTTAGATCCAGTGACAGGACCCAAAGAGTGTGAGTTCAATACCTAGTTAAGGTGGTGGACAACATGGAGAGGAGAATTAACTGATAACTGACATCCATTAGGCATAGCATGTGGAACTAGAACAGTCCACCCCAGCGAGCGAAATAAAGGGTTCAGTTCCTCATTCCAATCACCTGAAGAAGGACGGAGCGTACAGCGGCCGAAACGTTGTGATAAATATGGCGACAAAGATGAGGAAAATAGTCCAAATAATGTAAATAGTGTATATAATAGCTCATCTCAGAAATATAGACAGTTATTCCATCAAGGAGTCGCCGATTAAATATCGAACTTAAAACAGGAGCGAACCGTCTGAAATACGAGTTTAAGGTAAGCAGTTGCGACGATTGGGTTAAGCTTGCCATTTATTAGTATACTAACTTAAAAGTCGCCCTATGTGGCGGCATTTAAGCTAGCTCCTGCGGAGGGCTCTTGAGTGAACCTTCGTCGTAATAGGTAGGCAACAATAAACTACAGAAAAACTCAAAATTGATCGCTGCATTTAAGTGTTGCATTAATATTTAATCTTACCTTTTAAAAGTTCAACGATAATTCTTCTGCCGCCTCTTGATTTAAAGACACTTTGATGGACGTAGGTCCTTACTTTCCGTACAAAGAATTATTTTTTATCTCATGGCTGACTTTCGCAATTAATTTCTATTATTCCCAAATTTATTTCCAAGTTATAAAAATTGTTATCATATAATAAAAAAATCGTCGCAAAAATATCGCGTAAAAAATCGTCGAAAACAATCACAATAATGAAAACTTGGGAATCCAAAATTTCAGAATTGCGGGTCCAGATCCAGCCTGGAATATTTTTAATTTGCTCACCGAGTCGGCTTGATTTCAAAATGGTATAATACGTCAGGCTACGGCCTCTTGAAATAAAAAAAAACACGGACAATTTTATTTTGAAACACTGTAATTTGAGAACAGTATTTTTTTTTCCTTTGAACATGAGCTATATTGAAATTTAGAGAGTTGTGTCCCTTTATTTTTTTTTATCAGTAGAAGTCAAAATGGCGGAATCCAAAAACAATTGCAGTAATGAAAATTTGGGAATCCCAAATTTGAGGATTATTGGGTCCAGATCCGACCTGGAATTTTTTAATTTGCTCACGGTACGGTCTGATTCAAAAATTATATGATATGTTGGGCTTCGGCGTTTAGGAGTTAAGTTGAAAAAATGTGACACAGTGATACACTGACATTCGCATTTATTATATGGATAATGAATTGTTTCTTATTAATATCAGCAAATCAGGCTTCCTTTCTTTATTTTTCCTTCTTCTTCATCTTGGTTTGCGTCTTTTCTTTGTTTCCCTGTTTTTCTCCATTCAGTCTTTTTTCAATGCCTAACCCGAACCTCATTTTGGCACGGTTTTTTACGCCTGGAGAATTAAAATTTAGGTGGAGGAGGGATGGGAGGGAAATTTTTTTTTCTTTTTTTCATTTTCTTTATTTAATAGAGAGGTTTCTTAAAATTCAAATTTAAGATAAATTTTCCATTTTCATTTTTTTAAAAAAAATATTTTACAAGATTTTTTTTTATAAAAATGATTCTCTTTATTTATGGTTTTTTTTTTTTCTTTCTTTCTTTCTTTTCTTTATTTAAATTTTTTTTCATTTTTTTTTCAAAATACTTTTTTTTTTCTTTCTTTCTTTCGTTCTCTTTATTTATTTTTTTTTTTTTTTTCTTTTCTTTTTAAAAATGGGTTTCTTCTTTTCTTTTTTCTTTCTTTCGTTTCTTTATTTATGGTTTTCTTTCTTTCTTTTTCGTTCTCTTTTATTTTTTTTTTTTTTATTTTTTTTCTTTATTTCTTTTTTTTCTTTATTTCTCTAAGAATTTCTTTCTTTCTTTCTTTCTTTCGTTCTCTTTATTTATGGGTTTCTTTCTTTTTTTTTTTAATTTCTTTTTTTTTTCATCTTTTATTTATGGGTTTCTTTTTTCAGAATTTCTTTCATTTCGTAAAAATTTTTTTTGACTTTTGAATTATCTCTTTCTTTCTTTCTCTTTTTTTTATAGGTTTATTTTTCCTTTCTGTCAGCCAAGATTTAATTTTCTTTTTATTCTGTAAATTTTCTTTCTTTCGAGAAATTTCTTTCTAATTTCTTTCTAAAATTTCTTTCTTTCTTCTTTCTTATTTTCTTTTTTTTTCTTTTTTCTTTCTTTCTTCTCTTTCTTTTCTTTTTTTTTTTCATTTCTTTATTCTCTGAAAATTCTTTCTTTCTTTTCTTTCTTTCTTTCTTTTTTTTCTTTTTTTTTTCTTTTTCTTCTTTATTTCATATTTTTTTTATTTATTTTTTATTTTTTTTTATTTCTTTCTTAAAACACAATCTTTATTTCTTTCATTTCTTTCTTTCATTTTGTTTCAGGAATTTTTGTTTTTTTTGGGTTTCTTTCTTTCTTCTTTCGTTTTTTTTGAATGGTTTTCTTTCTTTAAAAATGATTTTTCTTTATAAATTTTTATGGTTTTTTTCTTTCTTTCTTTTTATTTATTTTTTTCCTTTTTATTTTTTTTTTTTTTTTAGAAATATTTTTTTTTTCTTTATTTTTTTCTCTTTTTTTTCTTTTTTCTTTCTTTTTTCTTTTATTTTTCTTTTTTTTCTTTCTTTTTTTCTTTCGTTTTCTTTTTTTTTTCTTACTTTCTTTCTTTCTTTCTCGTTCACTTTATTTCTTTTTTTTCTTTCTTTCTTTCATTTATTTTTGGGTTTTATTTTTCTTTCTTTCTTTCTTTCTTTCTTTTTGAAAATTTATACTTTCTTTCATTTTTTTCGTTCTCTTTTTTTTTTAAATTTCTTTATTTTATTTTTTTTCTTTCAATTTAAAAATCTTTTTTAAAAAAAATCATCTTTTTTCTTTCGTTCTCTTTTTTTATTGGGTTTTCTTTTTTTTTTCATTTAATATTTTTTTTCTTTTTTCTTTCTCATTCTTTTTTCTTTTTTTTATTTTTGCATTTTTTCATTTCTTTGAAAGCCAAATTCTTTATTTGAATTTCTTTTTTTGAATTTTTCTTTTTTTTTCCATTTGTTTTTTCTTCTTTTTTATAATTTTTTTCTTTCTTTTCCTTTCTTTCTTTTAGTTAAATTTATTTTTTTTTTTTCTTTTTTTTTAATAATTTTTTTTTTTTTTAAATGAAATTTTTCGTTCTCTTTTATTTGTTTTTTTTTCTTTTCTTTTATTTCTTTTTTTTTATTTTTTTCTTTATTTTTATTTTTTTTCTTTATTTATGGGTTTCTTTTTTTCTTCTTTTTTTTTTGTTCTTTTAAATATCTCTTGGATTTTTTGTTTTCTTTTTTTTTCTTTTTTCTTTCTTCGTTTCTCCTTTATGGGTTTCTTTGTTTTTTTAAATATTTATTTATGGGTTTATTTTCTTTTTTTTTTCTATTTCTTTTATTTTTGGGTTTTCTTTCTTTTTTTTTTTCTTTCTTTCTTTTTTTTATTTTTCTTTTATGGGTTTTTTTTTTTCATTTTATTTTTCAAATTTTCTTTTTTTATTCTGGAAAATTTTTTCTTTTTTTTATTTATTTAATCTTTTTTTAAAACTTTCTTTTTTAAATGTTTTCTTTATTTAAAATTTTTTGATTGAATTTCAAATGTTTCTTTATTTATTTTCTTTTTTTTTTTTCTCATTTTTATATTTATATATTTTTTCATTATTTTTTTTTTTTATTTATTTCTTTTTTTTTTTCTTTTTTTTTTTTTTATTTATAATTTCTTTTAGATTTTGGGTTAATATATTTATTTTTTTTTATTTCTTATATAAATATATTTATATATTTTTCAATTTTCTTAATTTCGTTTTTATTTATTTTTTATTTTCTTTCTTTTCAAATCTTTTATTTATGGGTTTTTTTTAAGAATAAAATTTTTTATTTATTTATTTCCAAATATTTGATTAATATTATTTATATTATTTATTTCTTTCTTTTTTTTTTTTTTTTTGGTTTCTTTTGAATTTTTTCTTCTCTTTATTTATTTTTAAATTTTCTTTTTTTCTTTTTTTAAATTTTTCTTTCTGATTTTCAATTTTTTTTAATACCAATTTTTGTTTTTTTTTCTTTTTTCAAAAAAGTTAAGGATTTTTTAACAAATTTTTTTTGTTCAAATTTTATATTTTTTATATTTTTTATTTTTTTATTTTTTGAAACCTTAATTTTTTTCTTTTTTTTTTTTATTTTTTTTCTTTCATTTTTTTTTTTGCTTTTTTTTAAACTTTTATTTTTTTTTGTATTTAAGAAAAACCATTTTTTTTTAAATAAATTTATTATAAATATTTTTTTTAATTTAAAATTTTAGTTTTTATTTCAAAATTTTTTATTTCATTTTTTTTAAAATTCTTATTTTTAATTTTTTATTTTTTGTTTTTTTCTTTTTTTTTTTTTTTGTCCAAGAAATTATTAAATATTTATTTTTATTTTTTCATTTTTTTCTTTCAAATTTTTTTAGGTTTTTTTTTTTTAAATTTTTTGTTTATTATTTGTGAAAATTTTTAAATTAAATTTAATTTATTTTCTTATTTCTTTATTTCTTTTGTTTTTTTTTTCTTTTTTAAATATTTTTTTTTTTTTTCATTTCATTTCTTTTATATTTTTATTTTCTTTCAGTAAATTTATTAAAAAAAATTTTTTATATATTTTTAAGTGAGGTATCTTTATTTTTTCTTTATAAGAATAAATTTTCATTTTTTTTGTTTTTTCTTTTTTTTTTTTTTCTTTATTTTTTTTTCTTTATTTCTTTAAATTTCTCTTTATCAATGTTTTCTTTCTTTTTATTCTTTATTCATTTTTTTTCTTTATTTAAAAAATAAATAATTTTTTTTTATCATGATTTCTTTATTTTCTTTTTTTTTTTTTTTTTTTCTTTCTTTATCAATTTTCTTTATTTATTTAATTTTTTTTTTTTTTTGGATTTGATTTATTTTTTTTTTTTTTCTTTCTTTTTTCTTTCTTTAAGCATTTTTTCTTTCTTCATTTCTAAATCTTTATTTATATTTCTTTCTTTTTTTGAAAATTTAGATATAGGTTTATTTTTCTTTTTTTTTTTCTTATTTATTTCAAAGGTTTATTATGTTTCTTTTTTTCACATTTATGGGATTCTTTACCAATTCTTTTTTTCTTTTTTTTTTTTATCAAGTTTATTTCTTTCTTAAAATTGATGATAATTTAAAGAAAACTTTCCAGAATTTTTATTTATGGGTTTTTTTTCATTTTTTTCTTTTTTTCTATAACTTTTTTTTGGTTTTCTTTGAATTTTTTTTTTTCAATTTTCTTTTTTTAAGGTTATTAATTCTTTCTTAAGTTTTAAAAAAAAAGGTTTTTCTTAAATGAAAAGAGTTGTTATTTCTGAAATGGGTTTTCTTTCTTTTTTTCTTTCAAAATTCTTTCTTTCTTTCTTTCTTTTTATTTCTTTCTTCTTTCTTTCTTTCTTTATTTATGGGTTTTATTTCAATTCTTTCTTATCTTTATTTAAAGGTTAATTTTTTTTTTTCATTTTCTTTTAAAATGGTTTCTTTTATTTGAACTTTCTTTTCTTTCTTTTATCATCTTTTTGACCATGTTTCTTTTTTCTTTTCTTTGGATTTTCTTTAATTTCTCTTTATTTGGTTTCTTAAAACACAAATAGGGAGTTAAAAAATAGAATGAATCAATTCTTTATTTCGTTCTCTTTACATTATTGGTTTCTTTCTTTTTAACTTTCTTTCTCGTTTCTGGCTTTGTTTTCTTTCGTTGTTTTTACTTTATGGATGTATTTCTTTTGAACTTTATTTTCTCCTTTTCTTACTTATTTTGTTTTTTCTGTCTTTTTCTTTTTTGGATTTATTTCTATTCTTTTTTCTTTCTTTCTTTGTTCCTTTCTTTCTTTCTCATTTTCTGCCTTTCTTTCGTTCTTTTTACTTCGTGAATTTAGTGCCTTTTAGCTATTTTCATTTATCCTTTCTTTCTAGTTTTCTTTCGTACTTTTTTGTTTCTGAATTCTTCTTTCTTTCTTTCTTTTGTTCTGTCTAATTTTCTGTCTTTCTTTCTCGTTTTCTTTCTTTCATTCTGGCATTCATTCGTTCTTTCTTTTTAACTTTCTTTCTTTTTGTTTTCTAGCTTTCTTTTGTTCTTTCTTCTTAATTTCTTTCTTACTTTAAACCTTTTTTCTTTCTTTCTTTCTTTTTTTTCTTTATTTATTTATTGCAGGTTTGATTCATTTCATTCATTTTTTTCTCGTTTATTCTTTCTTTCTTTCTTTCTTTCTTTCTTTCTAGCATACATTCTTTCATTTTCATTTTTTCTTTCTTTCTTTCCTTTTGTCTTTCATCCTTTATTTCTGTCACCGTCTTTCATTCCTTCTTTTTCATTTGATTTACATTCATTACTTCCATGACAAAAAATGAATGATTTATTTTCATTTTTCTTTTCATTCTGTACTCTATTCAGTTGATGTTTGGGTATTGATTTTTCCAGCGGGGCCTCGTCAAGTCCTGATCTCAGACACACAGATACAGAAGCCTTACAAAATATAAATTAATAAAGCTACGCACACACGCACCTGATTCCAACCAACAACTCGTCGCACATCGACA